TGACTGCAAGCAAGGCAAACGGCCTACCCGCTGTGCTATTGCTACAGCCCTAAGTATTTTTTTAAATTTTTATAACAGCTAGAATTTAGAAATGAAGTGAATGATCTTCAGTATAATTTGTTCAGTATAGATAGCCTTCCAACTCTTATGCAATGGCTTTAATATGTTATACTTATTATATTTGATCCTCAATTTAAATCCAATTTATTTATGGCGGCTTTGCTACTCTTACCATGCATTTACCATGTATTTCTTTTTCACATGACGTCTCTGATGTACTTGATCACCTTTCTGATTACTGAAACAACTAGGACTTTTAGAGTTAAGATCATGACTATCACAAAACCCAATAAGAAAAGTTTATTCCTGCTAAGCTAGGCAGCTAGAACAGAGGCCATTATTGTGTCAATGAAAAACTGTTCAATAATGTGCTGATAACCTTTTGTTGGCTTTTGTACCCTGTTTAAATGAAAGAACTGCTCAAAGTATGGACAAAGTTGTTTGTGGTGCAAAAACTCACTTTGAGCTAGAGGCCCCCCAGGAGATTTCCTTCAAGTTGGCAGAGGAGAACTTAACACCTTACTGATTGTCTAGCATAACAGCTGACACAAAATTTCAATTAAATGTATCAAATTTATTTCGACAAACATAAAAGTAATGAATTTTGATTTTGAATTTATTTTAAATTTAAGGGCTGAAGCAATAGTCCTGTGGGTAGGGTGTTTGCCTTGCATGCGGCTGACCCAGGTTCGATTCCTCTGTTCCTCTCTGAGATCCTGGCAAGCTACCAAGAGTATCCTACCTGCACACCAGAGCCTGGCAAGCTCCCAGGGTGTATTCTACATGTCAAAAACAGTAACAACTCTCACAATGGAGACATTACTGGTGCCCGCCCGAGCAAATTGATGAACAACGAGAGGACAGTGCTTTAAATTGAAAAATAATTGGGAATACTTATAAGAATGTTGAAAATTGAAAATCAACAGCGAAAATCTCTTTTGTCCTACTCCATTTTGCATAAACAACTATGGCTATTAAACTTACAAGTATCCTTCTAGATACTGTTCTAGGTAAAATTACACATGTATTCCCTTACCATTGTCTCAGTATCCTCCTCCATTCTAATCTGTCCCCCATACACCCTTTATTGGAAGCTTCCTACTGAAGTTCTCAGTTTCTGTTGCATTTGGGCATTGTTTATTACCCTATTGTATTTCTTTATTTATCTGATGTGAAACAAATAATTCAGCTTGTCTTTCTCCAGCCTGGCAAGCTACCAAGAGTATCTCGCTACCCATGACATATTCAATATGCCAAACACAGTAACAAGTCTCAAAATGGAGATGTTACTGGACCTGCTCGAGCAAAATCTCTTAGCATAATAGTCTCCAGATCCATCCGCATAGCATATTATTGAATGACTGCAGCCTTTCTCTTTTATTTATATATTATTTTCTCTCCTTCTCGGAGAGTCAGGCAAACTATCGAGAGTACCCTGCCCACAGGGCAAAGCCTGACAAGCTATCCGTGATGTATTTGATATGCTAAAAACAGTAACAACAAGTCTCAATGGAGACGTTACTGGTGCCCGTTTGAGCAAATTGATGAACAATGGAAGGAAAATGCTACAGTGCTACAGTGCTATATTTATTTTACTTCATCTTAAAGCTGGGTAGTATTGCACTGTATATATATATATATATACATATATATATATATATGGCAGAATATTTTGTTGTTTTCAGATTTTTATCACTATTGATAATAGTCCTAAAATGAGCAAAAGAGTGTAAATCTTTTTTTTTTCTGAATAGAATTTTTAAACTTTTGGTGTAGATGACAAGAAGTGGAATTGTTGGGTCGTTTAGAAGCTCAGTTCTTAGTGTTTTGAGAAGTTTTCATGTTGCTTTCCAAACAGGCTGGACCAGTCAACATTCCCACCAGCAGTAAATGAGGGTTCATTTCCCCCCACATCCACACCAACATTGGTTGATTTTGTTCTTTGTAATGTGTGTCAGTCTCATTGGTGTGAAGTCATATCTCATTGTTTTGATTTGCATTTCCCTGATGATAAGTGATGCAGGCAATTTTTTTCATATGTATTCTGGCCTTCTGATGTCTTCTTTGAGGAAGCTTCTGTTCATCACTATCTCCCATTGTTAGATGGGATGTTTTATTTTCTTCTGTTAAAGGCCTATCAGTGCATTCTATATCCCATATATTAACCATTTTCAGATTAATGGTTAGCAAATATTTATCCATTCCTGAGGTGTCTTGCTTTTCTGGTCATCATTTTGCCAGACAGAAGCTTCTTTGGTTTGTTGCAGTTCTATTTGTTTATTTTATTTTTATTTGCTTGGCCAGTGGCATTTAATAATTGAAGGTAATTTTAGATTCACTATCATGAAGTTATCTACCTATGGTTTTCTCAATAAGGTTATATATTGAAAATTCATTTTTTATTTGACTTTTTTGCATGGTATTAGAAAGGGGTCTGGATTATTTTGCATGTGTCTGACCAATTTTCCTAATACCATTGATTGAAAAGACTTTCCTTACTCCACTTTATACTACTTGCTTCCTTATCAAAGATTAGTACCCATATACCTAAGTATCTGTCTCTGAATTCTCAATTTTGTTCCATTGGCCTGAGAATTTTCAGTACTGCATATTTTATTACTACAGATTTATAGTATAGTTTGATGTTGGGGAAAGAAACCCTCCCATTTTCTCTTTTACCTAGGATTTATTTGATTTTTCAGGGGTTTTATTTCTCCATATAAATTTTGATAGTATTTGACCTCTGTCTTAAAAAAATTGAATCTATATAATGCTTTGAGCTAAAAGACAGGTTACCTACTCTCACCACTACTGTTGAATATAGTGTTGAGGATTCTTGCCATAGCAATTATACAAGAAATGACATTAAGGGCATCCAGATCAAAAAAGAAGTTAAACTGTCACTATTTTGAGAGGACCTGCTACTACTTAGAAAATCCTAAAGCCTCCACAGTAAAACTTCCTGGACATATTAGACTTGTACAGAAATTAGTAGGTTACAAAATAAACATACAGTAATTTATGACTTCTGTATATGCAAATAATGAAATAGAAAGAGAAATAAATTTAAAACAAAAACACCAACAATCCCATTCATAATTGTGCCTTGAAATATCATTTACCTGGGAATCAGCATAACAAAAAGTGAAAGACACACAAAAAGAACCATGAATAACTACTAAAAAATGTAACAGGGGAACTTTAGAAAATTGAAACACATCATCTATTCATGGATTGGAAGTATTAGTGCTGTCAAAATGACAAGATGAGATTATATTAAATTAAAGTTCATTTGTGTTTGTATTCTGTTTATTTAAATAGTTAAATAAACACTTCAAGCTTAAATGCTCAAATAGCCTTCAAATACTTAAGTATACTTAAACAAGTTCATCTAATTATCATATTTATACCATTATATACATTAATATGTAGTAGCACTGTAGTAGCACTGTCCTCCCATTGTTCATCAATTTGCTCGAGCGGGCACCAGTAATATCTCTGTTGTGAGACTTGTTGTTACTATTTTTGGCATATCGAATACACCACAGGGAGCTTGCCAGGCTCTGCTGTGCAGGCGGGATACTCTCGGTAGTTTGCCGGGCTCTCCGAGAGGGATGGAGGTATCAAACCCTGGTCAGCCACATGTAACACAAACGCCCTACCCGGTGTACTATCACTCCAGCCCATAATTCAATTATTTATCCTTCTACTGAATATTTAGATTACTGTAACAAAAAAAATTACAATGTGCCCCCATACAACAAATTATTACTGGGGTGCCAAGTTTTAGGGCCATACCCAGTGGTGCTCAGGGGCTACTCTGACTCTATGCTTGATGGCCCTTTAGTTTTCTTGGGAATCATGTAGTACCAGGGATTCACATGTGGTCAGTGGCATACAAGGAGAGTGCCTGTCACCTCACAACAAATTATTTTAATCTTATAAATTTATCTGTGGGATAAATTCAGATAAGTGAAATTCTGATTTAATTATTATCCCTAATAATTTAAATTTGCCTATTGTTTGTTGAGATTTGGGTTTTTAATCTATGATAAAGCACACAAGTTTTATATTTTTATAATGAAGATAATTTCTCTGAGCAGGGCGTGGGCCAAGCCTGCCAATGTTTAGGACTTACTCCTGGCTCTGTTCTCATGAATCACTTTTGTCAGTGCTCAGAAATCCAATGTGATATTGGGGATCAAAGTAGGGTTGGCCACAGATGGGAGAAGTGCCTTAACCCTGGTGTATATCTCAGGACCCCCCAAAATAGTTTCTTTACCTGTAAAGTCAAATCATACTTCCACAAAAACTGCTTGTTTTTCTTTATCTTTCATTTCTCTGTGAGTGTTTGTGTGTGTGCGTGTGTGTGGGTTTGTGTGTGTGTGTGTGTGTGTTATTTTGGGGCTATATTCAAGAGTGCTCAGGGCTTGCTTCTGACTCTGTGCTCAGGGACTGCTATTGGTGGTACTATAAGCTATTCTGGGCATTAACCAGTGTTGGCTACATCCAAGGCAAAATGTCTAAATTCCATTACTGTCTCTCCTACTCACGTTTTCTTTTTCCCTGAAAACACAAAGTTCCACACACCTAATGGTGTTGTTAATTTTTCGGTCAGTCATACAAAAAGGGAAAGAGCACAGTATAGAAGTCTACAAATATCTAGATTATCTACAATTACCTAGAACTATCCAAATGGTCTGGTAAACTGGGTGTGGTAGATATAGTCTTTCTCCTTTTTTGGTGAGCTCCCAGGATCTTGCATCTTTGCCACCTTGTTAGTGAAACAATAACAGTGACTTTTAATCTCCTTATTGTTTAATCTTTTTTTAATTAACAATTTAATTTACCTCATATTTTTTACTGTGAACAGAAGGTTTATACACAGAAAGCCAGTTATCTACTAAAATCATGCTCCTCTTTTTCTCTCCTGTTGTCAGGGCTGGAAGGGGTCTTTATGGCATTGACAGTATGCCTGATCTCCGCCGGAAAAAAACCTTGCCTATTGTACGAGATGTGGTAAGTTTTAGATTTCTTTGATTACATATTTTTTTCTTTTCATAAGACGACATATTTTCCTTCCCATTAGGTGTCTAACTATATGTATATTAGGAATCTGAACTCTACTAAGCAGAACATATTTTTTTTAAGATTTCTAAGTAGAGGAAATAATTCTGAACTTTAATATTTATTGAGACAGCAAAGGACCCTGTAATTAAGTGAAAATGGTTGCAATGCATGCTAATCTGGCTTCTACAACTGGGCTTTGGTGCATTATTAATGAGAACCATATCAATGAACAGTTTAAGACTTTTTTTTAACATCCCTTAATCCAGTGACTTTAATATTTTATGAAACAAGCAGATGATATTAACTAATTCTTTTTTCATAGAATGGTTTCACAGCAGTATTTTGGCTACCGTGGAAAGCTGATTCATGTCAAGCATGTTCTCCAGCTCTCTGGGCGATGCTCCTACCCCTTATTTCTTCATTAGATGATGACCATATATTGCCTTTTTGAGGTTCCAGAATTGACCTCAGCACCATGTGGTTGGCACCCTTTTCCTCACCCACATACCAGTGCAGCCCTAAAAGGCTTTAGAACTACTTGGAAACTCACACTCAAAAAGTTTAAATTAAGTTAAAAGATCATATCTAGCAGAATTAATAAGTAATTCTACCATCTAAAGAAAACCATGGTATCCAAGTCACCAAATCTCTATTAACACTAAAGATTACTTTGTATACTCAAAGTATTCAATTTTGAATTGTGCCAGAAATAACCTAGAACTGTAAGGAATTTTATACACATTATAAAAAATAAACTCATTGATGTAAAAGAGCATTTTCTATCACCTACAATGTATTCACATTTTTTGTAGACTTTTACAAAATGATTTGTGACATAAAAATGAGTTTTCCCAGAGAGCAGAAATTTTTTACAACAAGAAAGGACAAATTTTATTATATGTTATTTTATATTTTGCTACAAAAACCTTTATTTGAAGTTCATATCTCTGTTTTTAAATCAGTAAGATTATATTTTTTACTAGAAGGACCTTATACTTAAATGCATGATGCATTCATATAATTAGTTGAGATTTTTGCCATTATGCAGTCAATTTTTTCAGAGTATTGGGTTTCTTAAGCATTTTATATTTTTTCTTCACTTTTTATTTGTCTAATCATTTGTACTTTGCTTCCTCTGGCATTTGGAATCTTCAGGCCATGGTGAGTGAATTTTTTTCAATTGATTTGTGTTGTATTTTTACCACTCTTAGCAAATATATATTGCACTCATGCTTTGCAAAAAGCAGAACATATGGGGAATTAAAAATCAGACATAAAAATATAAGAAAACTTGGGTTGTCTGAGAATTCAACCTCTAGTTCATTTCTGAAAGACAAACCAAATTGTGTCTACAACAGGTGCAGAAGCAGACTAAAATAGAACACAAACATAATTTTAGGTTTACACAGTGGGAGTGAAGCTGCACAGAGAGTGCTTGCTCAAGATTGTTCCAATTCTGAATGCTTGGCTTTGTCGTTCCAAGAAGCTATGCTTCAGACTTGATAAGCTACTCCATTGTGGCCTCCTTATGGGATAACAGATTTAATATTACTGTATAGAGGTCTGAATTTCAAAGTTCTGTAGAGTCCTGTTGGGTGTATTAGACTGCATATATTTCTGATAGCAAGAGTGTAATGGTTCTATTTTTCAGTGGGGAATCCATGGAGACCTGGCTTTTATCTTAAATTTCTGTTACCCTTACTGAGTGAAAAAACAAATATGTCTCTCCTGATTCCCAGCTGATAAAAATTGGCAGTTGTAAGAACATGTCCTGATTATATATGTGGCAGACTATTCCAAAGAACTGTGAAAACTGACAAAACTGAACCAGTGTGCTTCACACACAGACCAACTGAGAGTAGTCTTGTTTTATGAAGGCATTCATCCATGACCACCTTGGGGGGAAAATGAAGTTTTTTGTTGAGTGTATGAGTGATTCTATGATTATACTTAATACCTTATGCTTAGCCTGAGTGCTTTCTAAGTCCCTGAGTCGTGTTCCTGGCCCCTTATCACTGAGGGTCCCTATATAGCAGAGCCATCAGGACATTGTGAGCACTTGTTGATGACACTGACTTTGAACTTGCATACTTGTGCGTGCCTGACAAGAGCTCTAAGTCCCAAAGTTATCTTTTATATCCAGAAAGATTATTTTGCATTTCTACTATCTGTCGAGCAATAGGGTCTTGATTCACCTCTTGTATCCATTACTTGATTCCATTTATTTCAGACCCTGGCTGCCCGGAAGTCTGGACTCTCTCTGGCAATGGTGATCAGAACCTCACTAAACAATGAGGAGCTGGTAAGTACAGTGTCAGTTACTATGTTTTAGTCATAATTGAGGGTCAATGCCATTCTACATGAGCTACTTGTTTAGAATGTTTATTCCTAAATTTCAGGAATAATTATGGCAAAGGTAAAAGGCATACCATAGACAAATTTCTTCTTAACATCAGCTTCACCATCATACAAATAATTGTATGTTGCTCCAATACTGACATAACTTCCGCATATAGAAATGCTCTTTTGTCTTTTATAGTATAACTTAATTTTTCTCCTGATAAAAATCTTACAAAATTGTTTTGGTTATAGGTTTGTTGATAGAGTGACAATAATGTTCAAACTTCTGGTGTTGATCTAAAAAGTTACTGCACACCCCTGCCTCTGCAGGTCCATGACCTTCACTCTGTTCTTATGTCACTTCCTATCCAACATTCCTTCTCTCCAAACCTTCCCCATTACATGTTAATTCACAGTTACGGTTTTGGTGCATACTGTTACCTCCCTTAGCACCACCCATGTGCTGGACACCCCCCACATAAGTTTCCACTTAAGTTTACTTCACAGCCTACCAGTTCTCCTCTCCCCATGCCACTAACCTGGCCCTCTCAGGTCAGTATTCCGGTATTTGATGTTCATTATTGATTGGTTTCATCCATATCCTTGATTTGTTACTCTTTATATCACAGATGAGTCAGATCAATCTCAATTTTTTTCTGCCTCTGACTTATTTCACTCATCATGGTGCCCTCCAATTCCATCTAAAATTTTGTGCCCTCAATGACTTTTTTCCCTAGTGCCTGGTTAGTATTCCATTGTGTGTATATCAAAATTTCTTTATCCATTTCTCTGTTTCTGGACATAAATTTTTACATTTTTCATTTTTCATGAGGCACTTACAAACATCCTCCTTTTCTGACTTAGTGATAAGCTTCCTATTCTGGGATTTTGTAGCATTTTAACCCACTCCTCCATCGTATATATGGTTAAGAGATGGGCTTCTTAGGGTGAACCCTATCTATGTATATAGAAAAATATTGCTTTAGCAGTTAAGTTACAAAACTTCTCTGAAACTGAGAGTCCACATCAATCACTGTCACTGTATCACTGTCATCCCAGTGTTTGTCAATTTACAAGAGCAGTCACCAGTAACATCTCTATTCATCCCAGCCCTGAGATTTTTAATTGAATAACATTTTATTTAAAATTATAAATGGCACACAATAGTTTGATCTTCAATATTAAAACATATAAAGATAGTTTCTATAGTCTAGATTGAGATTTTGAAAGGTGAACGACAAAATTTACTTCCAAGTAAAGTCTTTAATTGTATTATATTCTTTCATATAAATAAATATGTGACCTAACATAGAAAAAGGGTTAAGGAGACCTCTAAGGGCAATGCCATCTTCTCGATGGACCACCTCCAAAGGAGCCCTGAGATTTTAGCAGCCCCTCCGTACTCGTCTTTCCCAACAATTGGAGGCTCTTTCAGGGTCAGGGAAATGAGACCTGTTACAGTTACTGGTTTTGGCATATTGAATATGACACAGGTAGCTTGTCAGGCTCTGCTGTGTGGGCAGGATACTCTCGGTAGCTTGCAGGGACTATATATATATATATATATATATATATATATATATATATATAGTCTGTTGCCTACTGTCTGAACTCCATCAAACATGGTGTGGTAATTGTGGACAATGCAATGGGTAGGAAGTGTCCCATGATGTGTCATGACTGCACGGACCGAAAGTGTCCTGGAGGTTGGTGGTGGTTTGGTAGTGGAGGTCAGTTGTTGGGGCTGGATACCTTGGGGCAGGGAGGGCTCTCACCTGCCATCCTCTGGGGCTCCCTGAGTGGAAACAGCCTGGCACTGAGTCCTCCACATCAATAGAAGTAGTAAATTGGATTGAATGCAGTGGATCCATGTTCAACACTGAGTATTGTCTAGGGTATCCAGTAAGCAATTAACACAAGGTACTTTCTATTATAGTTATTATTACCATGAATTGGATTTTCTTCTTTAAATCTTTCATTTCTTTGAAGATAGTACTCTTTACTGCTTGTTGTTCTTGTTAAATATTTTCATTTTTTTAGTACACTGACATGATATAGAGGTAGTTTCTTTGTGAGTAATTACTGAATGAAAGAACCAATGTGATAAGAAGATATGAGTAGGCTGCAAAAATATAGGTCATGAATTCTTAAATTTGGCTCATTAGAATCACCTGGGGGCTCCTTAAAACATACCAATCTCCCAGGATTCTGATTTAATTGGCTGCAGGTGTAGCATAGGTATAAGAGAATTTTTAAAAAATCTCCTGGGCAAATCTAAAGTGCATTGGATACTGTGCCAGAGAACTTCATTATGCATGGACAGTTGGCTGGGGATTTTACTCAAGACAATTCATCACTTTGTGGAACTGAAAAACTGGACTCTCAAATTTGACAGTCATTCTTTTACTCGGCGGATGGGGGAGGCAGGGCAGTAGGGCATTATATTTGGCAGTGCTCAGAGCTCACTCAGCCAATAATTCCAGTTGAGTGTCTAGGAGTCAGTCCTGGTGGCCGACAAGGAACCATGCAGTGCCTGGGGTCAGGCCCAGGCTGTATGCAAAGCATGTGTGCCATTCATGCTATTTCTCTTTGTCCCAATAGCATAATTTTGTTTGATGTTTCTGTGCACAAAACCTTTAAATATTGCCATGCCGGTTCATGTGCCTTTTTTCCCTATCATTGTCATCTTCTACTTAAAAGCCAATGTAATCAGAATTGTCAGAAGGCTACTTCATTTTATGACACTCTAAAGAGGGAGCAAACCTTCCTTCCCTTTGTGTTTAAGTTAATGTCTGATCTATTTTTCACCAAAGTAAAAATAGTATTTTATTACTTTATTGCTATTCCATAAAAGATTTCTCTTTGTGAGTATTGGTAGATCAATAAAGTTTAACATGCCCTACAACTACTTGAAAACCTATTTCCTTTGGAACATTTTCAAAATCCATATGACATGACTTGACAACGATTATGGCTATCTGGAAACCATATAAAATTTCACCCTTGATAAGCTGTCACAGTAAGTAGCTACATGGGCAACTAATCTAAACATGAAGAGAATAAAACGGAGTGAATAAAGTCCATTTCCAGTATTGAAAGCCTTTCTAGGGGCTGGAGCACAGTGGGGAGGGCATTTGCCTTGCACACAGACAACTTGGGTTCAATTCCCAGCATCCCATATGGCCCCCTGAACTCTGCCAGGAGTAATTACTGAGTGCATGAGCCAGGAGTAACCCCTGTGCATCACCGGGTGTGACTCATAAAGAAAAAAGAAGAGAAAATTAAAGAAAAGAAAGCCTTTCCAGACACCTCAGTGTTAAGGCATGAAATAGTTCTCTATGAGGAAGAATGTTATGGCCATATGGAAAATATCAAATGATAACTTCACTTTTAATTAAATAAATGTTTGTTAAAAATATCAGTTATTGATGTAGAAGAGAGAACACAGTGCTTAGGGCACTTGACTTGCACAAGACTTACTTAAGTTTGATCCCTGGCACCACATATGGGGCTCTAAGTTTCCCCCACACACCCTAGCCGGAGTGATCCCTGAGCAAGAGCACAGAGTAAAGAGTACTCTCTGAGTGCCACTGGTTATGTGCTAAATTAAAAAAGAATAAATTAAAAAAATCTCAAGAAAAAATGTACTATGTGGTACAAGGTATGAGTTGGCCATCTGGCTCAACCCAGTTCACACACTTTCTAGTGACCTCTCCAAAGCCAATTTCAATCCAACCTGAGGAGCACCTGGGTTTGAGTTGAATGTCATTCCAATAAATTCTGAGGACTAAGATTTGTACATTGGTTTATCTGAATTAATAGCAGAAGGGATAGTTATGCAATTTCAATATAGAACAACATTGATCTGCAGGGCACTACACTGTCCTATTTTGTGTTTATTTTCCTAAAGTAATAGTTTCTCAGTTGTGAATCCAACAGATTTCAGTTAGAGAAAATCCATTTGATTTTTTTAACCAATATTAATTGATTGTCTACTATGTCTTAGGCATTGATTTAGATTATGGAAATATGGTAGTGACTGAGATTCTGTTCTTAAGAACTTGGTTGCAGGGCACTTATGGTACTATGTTTTTTATTCACTACTGCTGTAAGTCAGAATGGAGGCTTTTAGAAAGCCAGGATATTTAAGAAAAATTAGTCTCAGATGATGGTTATCAGAAACTCAAGTATTGAGTGAGGAATCCAAGTCACTAAATTTAAAACTGGAGTTTGGAGTCTTGATTTTTTCTATCTAGCTTTTTTTTCTGACTTTATTACAAGGTAAAGATGTGATCTAAAATCATGTTTCCAGAAAGTTTCAATTCTCAGTTCTCAAGAAGAATTGGTTTGATTCTGAGAGTCGGAGTCCTTTTAGTAACAGAATTGAGGTTTAATTATAGGGACTGGTAAGAATTAGATGCAGGAGTACTCGGGATATCACTCCACGATTCTCATCCATGAATTACATGATGAAGATAACCTTTAAAGAAAAAGATGGCCAGAAGAAATGTGTACTTGGGGTTCAATCAATAAGTGAATGTTCACTATAGAACCAGGTCCTCTGAATTCCTATTCAGTGTAGTGTTTCTTCCAACAAACCTGGCCAAGTGTTGAAGAATAAGCAAGCTGACAAATTGGGCAAAACTAACTCCTACATTCATTAAAAGCTAGACTTGTTATGGGACAAAGGGGGGGGGGAATGGAAAGAATGTGAAACAGGTTCATTTCATGGCTGGGATGGTCTGAAACTTTGGCAGTGGGACAGTGACAATTACACATAGGGTGAAAAGAGAAGGTAAGTTTCTGTCATTCCATGACACTAGACAAATGAGATAGCTGATGAAAAGTTAATTAATTTTTTAAAGTGATATGAACCTGAATTTTAGTCTTAACTCCACATTTCCGTTGCCACCCTAAGACTTACTCATCTTGTAAAATTACTTGCAAACAAAATACAGCAGA